AAAACAGTATCAAGACTTCTCAAAAAATTAAAAATGGAAATACCATACGACCCAGCTATCCCACTACTGGGTATTTATCCAAAGAACATGAAATCAACAATTCAAAGAGACTCACGCACCCTTATGTTCACTGCCGCATTATTCACAATAGCCAAGACATGGAAGCAACGCAAGTGCTTCCATCAATGGATGAATGGATAAAGAAGATGTGGTATATATATACATATATATATATACAATGGAATACTGCTCAGCCATAAAAAAGACAAAATCATCCATTTGCAACAACGTGGATGGACCTTAAGGGTATTATGTTAAGTGAAATAAGCCAGACAGAGAAAGACAAACACTGTATGATTTCACTCATATGTGGAAGATAAAGAAATACATGGACAAAGTGAAGAGATTAGTGGTTACCAGAGGGGAAGGAGGTTGAGGGGGAGAGTGAAAGGTGTAAAGGGGCACATATGTATGGTGACAGATAAAAATTAGACTATTGGTGGTGAGCACAATGCAGTCTATACAGAAGCTGATAAATAATAATGTACACCTGAGGGCCGGCCCCGTGGCTTAGCGGTTAAGTGCGTGCGCTCTGATGCTGGCGGCCCGGGTTCGGATCCCGGGAGCGCCCCGAGGCACCACTTCTCCGTCCAACGCGAGGCTGAGTCCCACGTACAGCAACTAGAAGGATGTGAACCTATGACGTACAACTATCTACTGGGGCTTTGGGGGGAAGAACTGAATAAATAAAATCTTTAAAAAAAAAAAAAAAAAAAAATAATGTACACCTGAAATTTCACAATGTTATAAACCATTATGATCTCAATTAAAAAAAAAACCAATGCTGCATGTACAACCTTCCCTCATCTGTTCAGTGGCCTTCCTTGCAAAATAAAAATAAAACTTCTCAGATGAGAAGTGAGGTAATGTGACACATTGCTGCCTACAGTAACTACCTCAACTGTAAGAAAGTAGGGAAAATAAGCATACACGATTTGCTGATTTTTGTAAGAAGCAACACTGGAATCAGGAAATAAGGGTGAAAGGAACAGAGATGAAAGAATGGCATTTCTAAATATGACTTTTTACTTAATTTAGATATTTAACTATGTACATGTGGGGTTTTTTAAATTTTTTAAATTGTGGTAAAAATATACATAACATGTAATTAGTAAATATATATAATATATAACATAAAATTTATCATTTTAACTATTTTAAATGTACAGTGGAGTGGCATTAAGTACATTCATATTGTTGTACAACAATCACCACCACCATCTCCAGAACGCTTTTCATCTTTCCAAACTGAAACTCTGTCCCCATTAAACACTAACTCCCCATTCCTCCTCCCCCAACGACCCTCATTCTACCTTCTTTCTCTATGATGATTCTGACCATTCTAGGGACCTCATGTAAGTGGAATCATACAGTATTTGTTCTTCTGTGACTGGCTTACTTCAATTAGCATAATGTCCTCAAGGTTCATCCATGTTGTAGAATGTGACAGGATTTCGTTCCTTTTTAAGGCTGAATAGTATTTCCAATATATAAATATACCATATTTTGTTTATTACTTCATCTACCCATAGGCACTTGGGCTGCTTCCACCTTTTGGCTATTGTGAATAATAATGCTGCTGTGAACATGGGTGTATACATATCTGTTCAAATGCTTGTTTTAAATTCTTTTGGCTATATACCCAAAAGTAGAATTTCTGGATCATATGGTAATTCTATTTTTAATTTTTGAGGAACTGTCATGCTATTTTCCACAGTGGTGCACCATTTACATTCCTACCAACAGTGCACAAGGATTCTAATTTCACCACGTAAATTTTTTTATAATAAAGGGGAAAAGGCCCTAAAGTCCAAAACAAATTGAAACTAATGATCATAATAACCGAAGTGGTAACATAACCACAGTGAAAATAAATTATTCCAGGTTTACACACAGTACCCTGTGCATCCTTACTGAGGCATAGTCTAAGGACAAGAGAACTGCAGGAACTCTTACTAGTCATAATGCTGATACTATGATTTTGAAGCTATTTTGGCAAATAAACAACTAATGTTATTAGCAACCAAGATTTTCAGCATAAAAGAAAAGAACTACAACTACTGAGTCAAAAGAGAGAAAGCCCTGTCATGTTAAATTTGAATAAGAAACAGCAATCTAAGCTCACAATCTAAAATGTGTGTGTGTTTCCTAGCTCTGTCCTTGAACAGACTTACAATTAGTGACACTCCAGGTGAAAGAGGCGGCCCCAGCACATGGAGCTCGGTTCTAAAGACGACTGCAGGTGTGTCTGAAGGACACAGCAGTCAGCTTGCAGGCACTCCCTTCCACTGGCCGTATCTGGGGTAATGTGAGCAGCAAAAGCACCCTGGCTCTATGACTAGAATTAGTGCACGGAATAAATAAAATCCACTGGTGCATGGTGATTCACAGAGCAAGGGAAGAGGGAGAAAGGGAGAGAAGCAGAGGAGCGAAAGGAAAAACACTAATTTCCACCACTGTAGGTGGATATCTTACTTTGCAAATTGGTAATTAAAGAATCAAACATTTACCTTGCTCTTTGGAAAGAAACTATGGTTCATCCACTATAGATGAAGGAAAGCCTTTCTTTAGAGGATGCCTGCTAATACATGGAAGGAATCACAGAATTAGAAAATTATCTTCACCATCCCTATGAAATAACTGATTCAGGCAAGGACCACTAAGGGATGCTAAAATCGTCAGGAGAAAGATTGACAGGAAACAAAATAGTCACAAGGTGACGAGTCACTTGCTGATAACACAGGGAGATACGTCCTTTCACTCTGGAGCCACCTGTTGTGACCACCATAGCAAAGTGCTGGGAATCAGCATCACCAACAGTGACCTTACACGTCTACGGGAAGTGAAGGACTATCAAGTAGATAGCATTTCCCCGTCAAATACTTTTGCTAGAAACGTTTATTGTGACTCTAAAGAGGCCTTTAGCCCTAACCTCCAGTTTATAGGAAATACATGCAAACTGAAGTGATACCGTGAAAAACCAGGCAAACTCGTAATGTTGGTGACCCTACACAACCGCTGGCCTGGACTACCGACCTGATCCAAGCCTAGTCAAAGTGGAGACCATTCTACACTGAAAGATGTGTGTCCAAGGTAAACATGGCTGCTGACTGGACCCTGGTTTCAAACAAAGACACCATGGGGACAATTGGGAAAATATGAATATAGACAGGACGTTAGATAACCTAATATAACCTAAGGAATTACTATTTGCTTAGGTGTCACGTCTGCAACTAACTTTCAAGTAGTTCAGCCTAACACATACATACACAGACAAAGCAAATGCGGCAAAATGTTAACTACTGAATCTAGGTGGTAGATACTGAAACGTTTGTTTTACTATTTAACATTTTTTTCTGCATGTTTGAAAAGTTTAATAATAAAAGCGGGAGAGGGTGGAGGAAAAGAAAAAGGATGCCAGCCCTGGCCTCAGGCAGGATGTGGGGTCAGAGCCTGGCCCCGCTTCTCAGGAACAGAAGGCCACTGCCATCTCTGAGCCTCCCACTCCTCTTCTTTGCAACAAGGGACTCACTCTAAGCCCACGCTGTCAAATGCTCTCTCTAAGGCATGCACACACTGCTCTTAGTAAGGGGGGACTGGGAAATAGTAAGGAACAGCAACACAGCTGATCTTACTTTCGCCATAGAATTGTCAACGCCAGAACCTTTTCAAGAAGTACAGGCTAAAGCAGAATTTTAAAGTTATAAGAGGGGTCAGAAAAGGTGAGGCAGACACTACACTGGGGTCACATTCTCAGGCATTAACTTCCACAGCAGTCACAAGAACAGCAGTCAAGGTAGAAATATCAGGCACAATCACTGCCCGAGGTCTGAAACCAGGCCTCCGATCCCAATGATCCTCATGTAAACAGCCACAACCATGACCCAAATCACCTTTTACCAACCCAGGAGCTTCTGAACAAACTCTAAGAGTTCTGACTCCTCTCCAGAGACCACCCTGCACCACTGGCTGGAATCAGCCTGGAGCAGTAACAAAGACTTCCCCAAACAAACAGAAGAGAAACTAAACCTGCAAGGATAAAAACTGCAGTCTAAGAGAAAACTGTATTGTGGTTACCAAGGGCATCGGTGTAGGGGCGGGGCACAAGGGGTGAAAGGAGACACGTATATGGTGATGGACAAACAAAAATGTACAACCCAAAATTTCACAATGTTATAAACTGTTAAAACATCAATAAACAAACAAACAACAAAAAAAAACTGCAGTCTGACATCGGAACATTACTTCCCTCTTATCTCCAACAGAAAAGAAAATCCTAATAGTCAAATTATAAAAGGAACCAAAAAACACTTCTGGTCAAATTCATGATGCAATGTCCTTGAAGTGGAATTCTCCTCAAGTGCAAAAAAGACTTGAGCCTTCCTTTAGCTACTTTAGAGAGATGGCAGATGCCACACCAGAGTAGGCACATGGTCTTCAGAGATTGAAGAGAGGTAAAACAGAATTGCAGACAGAGCCAGTTTAACAGCGGCCCTCTATGGCTACAGAAGTTGTTCCCCAGGAAGCCCCAGAGATGGTCTGCACGCACCACAAATATTTATGTCTTAACCACTTTAGATTTTCTCTCTGGAGAATTCACCTAAAACTGTAGCTTATTCAGTTGTGACAAATGATAGTATTTATGAAAAGTTCCTACGCACAGACAAAATGTTGCAAATGGTGAACTTGAATTTGAGACAGGTTTCTTCCTTTTGCAAATGTAGGGAGACATGTTTCTTATACACAATTTTTGCTCCCACTTGGACATACATGAAATCCTACAACATTCATTCACCTACTTCCCCAGGTTAGACCTCAGACAGAGCCTCATCACGCTGAAGACTGAATTAACACGGAGAATTCTACTCCTTGGAGGTCTCCTGGCCGTTTTTGCAGTGAACAAGCCTCCTTCCCTAGAGTTCCTATCAGTCCCTGGTTACCTGACATTTCCTCCAGCCTTCTGTATCCTCATGCGTTCTTCATACTGTGTTGGGTTATGCTCCTTGCTGAGGCTTAAGGCTGCGTGTTTTTGACTCTCTTCATTATAACGGCACAGGATTGCCTGGGAAGATGGAGATTACAACAGCCGTGAAATTCAATGAGTCCTGCGCCTAAAGTTACCAGCTGAAGAGAAAAGTCAACAACGGAGTTTCAGATTCAACCTCCTGCTGACAAACACAAGTTCAGAGGGTCAAGCAGCGAAGAAGTGTCAAGTAGCAAAGTGGTGTCTCAGAAACACCAAGTCAGGGAGAGAAGTCCCTGGTCTGGGTCTCAACTCTGGTACAAGCTCTGCTGGATGACTACAGCCAATGGCTCACCCTCTCCAGGTTGTCTTCTCATCTGTGACATGAAAGAGAGGCACTGAAGTACCAGAGACCCTTAGGCATTACCATCCTGAGAGTCTACAAGAGGCAAGATGAGGCTGACTCAGTACATCATCTCCTGTGTTCCCAGCTCCATGTTTATCATGTCATAACTTCCAGAAAAGCCTCTATTTTATAAGGGGGAAGCTGAGGCCCCGAGGGTAAGTATCATACCTAAAGTCATACAGCAGGGCCAGGATTCAAATTTGGGTCTGACTCCAAAGTTTTTTTTTTTTTTTTGGCCAATTTTACTCGTGATTTTTTAAAGTCATCTGGTCTAAACACACAGGTGGTTACAGACAGTCTACTGGAGGACCACCAGAATATGAACTTCACTATGGAAGGGACTATCATCTATGATGTTCACTGCTATACCTCTAGTGCTTGGTATTTATTATAAATCACCCTAAAAGTAACAGGGGTTGGGGCAGCTACATCTAGGTCTGAAGATGCTGCTTAACAGTGGGAAGGGTCACTTTGTTACTGTGACTGCTGAAGGAGCAGGGAGGCTGGATGAAAAAGTGGCAACGGAAATGCACATCCCATCCTGAGGCAAAGGAGGGAGGGACTGCAGCCAGCTGTGCAGAGCACCGCCCTCCAGCTTAAGGAGTTCCCCACAACTGTGACACTGGATGTCACTAGTGGGAAATAATTGGGTTTTCTCCCTCAGCCATGTGGACTGGGCCCAATGGATGAAGGGCACATCACCTAGCACTTTTCAGGCTATGCCTTTTGAGTTATTCTGCAATCACAATGATTCTGAGAGGCAGGGGTTAATATTTTCCATTCATTACTGTCTGAGGTCAGAGAAATGAAGCTGAAGAATATTTAAGCTTCTTGCATATCAATTAAATTCCAACCCACAACACCATCTAGACAGAGTACGCACACAAAAAAGAAGAAGGGAAAAAGAGAAAGCAGAACGGATCTGGGTTTTCAAGGAGAAGAGGGTCTGTTATAGGGCTTCATCCAGCTTAGCTGCTATTCCCTACCCAGACCTTACACTCTGCAGCAGAACCCCCTGCAGCAGCCCCACAGGAAAGATTTCAACCCAGACAGCATCATTTTAATCTTATTCAGCAAGTGCTGCTATGGTTCTTCCCCCATATCACATGCTGTCATCCAAGTGGGTGGCTCAGAGCCACATACCCGACTATCTCCGAGGTTGGCAATATAAAGAATGTTGTCTACAGCCAGAACACACGTGGCAGTGGACCCATCTTTCCAGGCAGGCTTCCTGGGGGGAAACACATCAGAAATACAGTCACCACCAACATGCTAGCACTTTGAGACTAATTTCCAGATTGAATGGGAAGTGTCTGATACTTTGAAATGGACCGTTTCCTTGATACGTGTTTTCTGTTTCAGATTTAGTTAACAGTTTTAAGAGCTTACTCCATGCTAGGTACTTTTCAGACGTGAGCATTAGTATTAAACCATATCAGAAGACCTGAAATGGATGTGGGAAAACAACACACACGCTCCACTCACACGTCTTCATGTGGTTAGACTTACTGGCTTGAAGCTTGTTTAAGGAACTCTTCATCAGTATGCTTAAAAGTGTCCAAAAGGCATCTCTTCACGGTTTTCTCTACACTGATTACATCTCCTATTATGGAAGGAACAAAAGAAAAACTCTTAAGAAGGGAAGATTATCCTCTTCCCACCGTCATTTTGTTTTTGTACTATGACCAGGAACATCTGTATTTCCTCACCTAGAAGGCACGTACCATCTGCATTTGGTTTTGGTAGGCTCCCAAGTGTGAAGGCAAGATACTCGCTTGTACCCAAAGACACTTCAAGAGAGGTGCCCCTCAGAGACATGAGAAGTTCTACGCTGGGCTCACCCCCCCTCTTTTAAGAGTCACCGATCATTCTTTGGCTAAAGCCAAAATGACATCTCACTGATTCACACAACAACAAACACCAAGATGAACACGAACTGATTCAGTTCTCAGTCTCACCTTTAGGAAACTTCCTGATTAAGTTCTGATGCAAATTCTGTGCAGCAAATTTTGAGGCTCGAATTCCTCCATGTCCATCAAAAACAGCAAAATATGAAACCCGGGTACTGGAGGAATGAATTGAGAGTCAATAAGATTCTCACAGCAAAGATTCCTCCTCTCCATTAAACCTTTTAAATCTGAAACAGTGAACGTTAATAAGAGGGGAAGTTCTGCTGGTAAGACACCAGTCGCACTGTCAAGAATGGAAAAAAAAGGCCATAACATTAACTGAGACAAGCGTTTAAGAAACTTTCACGGTATTTTAAAATTAAAAATTAAAAAGTCACACTTGTTTCAAAAATCAAAATCTATTAACTCTGATTTTTCACTGAAGATAAAACTAAAATTCAGAACTTCTATTAAAACCAGATTTAAACACTAATATACAGATAAATAGTTACTGATCTAGACAGTCAAAACTATCTATAAGAGCAGGGGGTGGTTCCAGAATTGATACTCAAACTTTGACTGATACCTAATTCTTGAAGCCTATCTTACCAGTCTTACCTCTGTTCCCCTTTCAAGTTTTGCCAGAAAACTCACATCTACAGAATAAACTGATGGAATAAACTATGGAATAAAATGGCATTAAATAATAAACTGTTTCAAGAAGGAAGGACAAAAATGCCTATGAGAAATGACATTTATTCTGCAGAGGTGCTCTTTTTTCACACGTTTGGAATGCCTTTTCAATTTGCGACATCACGAGCCATGAAAAAACGGACTTCATCTGGTTTATAACTCAGAACTGCTATGTTACAGCATGGTATTTGCTAGGTATGGTTTAGTGTTCCCAGTTAGTACCACCGAGGAGGCAATCACCTCCTCACAAGTAGGCCTTATCTACTGGACAAAAGCCCTGACGCCAATGGCTCCAGCACACTGTATGTTAATGATCTACTGGTGTCAGTTAATGAATCTAAGGTATAGATTATGTAATCAGGGAAATCAGGTGGTGTATATATTATGTAATATACACATTATTATATATGTAAACATAAGGTACGTTAATGACCAATTCGGTGTCCTGCCTTCCAGCTGCTTTTCTTCCATGTCTAAGACCTTATCCAGAAGGTTTCATTTCCATTTGTACAGTTGCAGGAAATTTTTGACTGTTTTCCTTCTCCTTGATGCCATTTCTGCTTTTGTTCTCTTTCTGGGTCCTCGCTATTCGCACTAGCTTTCCATGATCACCATTCACTGCTGCAACTGGCGGCTTCCACCTCTACCCTCTGGGTCACAGACTAAGAATGCTCCCTGCCAGAAGCTCTTCAGATACTGGTGAGAGTAACACACCCCAAAGACCCACAACGTGGAGAGTCATTCCCCATCCCCTCAGCTTCAGCAGGACTGATATCTGGGGCTGGACAGTTCTTTGTTGTGGGGCTGTCCTGTGTCGTAGAATGTTTAGCAGCATCCCAGGCCTCCCCCCACCAGAGGCCAGTAGTACATCCCCCTGTTGTGACAATCAAAAATGTCCCCGGGGGGCAAAATCAACCCCAGCTGAGAACTACTGATGTTGAACCAAGCAGCTCAAGTGATATGTCTTTCTAACACATACAAACTGGGCATGGTCCAAAATCCAGTCAGAACAGAGACTTTTATGCCCACCAGGCCTGCTGGGGCGTGGACACTCACATGAGGGATGATGGGGGCCGACATTCCTCGGTGATGTCATTCAGGATGACGTGGGCATCCTGCATCTCCTCCCGCTCGCCCTTCCGCTCTGCCACATAGCCTTTCAAACCAAAGATCACTGAAGAGGCTACGGAAAAGAGAACAAAAAGCCAATACAAAACTGTGCCCCTCCCTCCAGAAGCCCTAGTCCCAGAGCAAATGAGAGGGAACTCCGGCTGTTTTACTCAGCAACAGCTGAGTAAATTTGCAAACAAATAAGCTACACCCCTCAAGGCATCATCTCCCAGCTACAAGTCTGTAACTAAGATCAGACCACTGTCAGACAGGGCGAGTCTGCAAAAGGCTGAACAGCGGAGGAGACAGCAGAAGACAGTCAAGTTAGTACAGAACAGCTCCGTTCAAGAAGGCGTTAAGTCAAAGCACCAAAGAGTGTGCTGTCATCTCACAGAAGTAGGATTTGAATTGGGGGAAGGAATTATGTGCAAACCTAGTCTTGTCAATAATTTAATGAGGACAGAAAAATTCCTAGTTTAGAGAAATGCAAGTAAATAGAGTTTATCCCAAAGGCCCTGTTGGACACCCTGAAAATATGTATGTCCATGCTTAAAGCTGGAAGAATCTGAAGAAATGGTAAGATCTGTTGCTTTTACTTTAACTGAAAAAGAAAAGGATAAACGAGTCCAGGGGAGGCACAAAACCCTACTTATGTTTAATGGCCAGGCTGGTTTAAGCTCCTTTTCTGACACCCAGGGCCATGTAAACAATAAAATGAGCACTTTCTGAACAGCTGTTGCTGGAAGTATAACACTCTTTAGGCTAAAGGCAATGACAAGCTAAGCGGAAGACCAGGTCTGTAAAGCAGAGCTGGGAGTAGGGCCTTCCACACACCTTCATGTGCAACCTCCAGCTTCATTTGAGATCGTGTGTGGCAAAAGACAAAGTGGTCTGGTGCAGTGACAATCCACAGCTCTTTCTCTTTAGTTGATACTTTTCATTTCTTCCCCACGAACTTTGACCAGTTACAAAGCTGACTACAAATTTCAATTGCTTTTTCCAGCCTCAGGCTCTCTCGGGAAGTTACCTGCTGAGCTAATCATAGAATTCAAAGTGCTAATCCACAGGTTGTGAACAAAGCCAGGGAGCCAGAGAGAAACTGGGTGCTCCATAAGCTACGTCTTCACTGGAGAAGGCGAAGTAAAAGCTGCCTGTGTTTTTTTAACCCTTGAGGAACAAATGTAAGTTTCCTATCTGACGGAAGGTGGTGTCAGAGATATACACGGCAAGTAAAAAGAGAAAGGAAGCAAAAGAAAACTTGGAAGTCTGTTTGCAAAAGGGGAACCCTACCCGCTTCTTAAATACAGACGCAAAAAGGAAGAATCATCAGAAAGCTGAGCTTTTGCTCTGGGTTGTTTGAAAATATGAAGTCTAAGACATTTGTTTTCAAACTGTCTGAAAACCTTTACAAACTTTCTTTTCCACAAGCTCTTCACTGCCATTCTTCTCTTCTTCAGAGGTTTTTCTCTTTGCTCCTTTCCCTTCATTCTTTACCATCTGGGATATCGAAGCGTCAAGAGAACCTGGAAATAAAGTAAAAGCCAGACAGAAACACAGCTGTAGACTGTTAGAAAGAGTCCCTAGCAGAGCAGGCTCCATCCCAGCCCTCAGAGACAAAATGACAGTTCAAGTGGGACAAGCAGAGAAGCAGGCACAGTGGCCATGACCCTGACTTGGAGGGGCCGGGCAGTGTGCCTGGGCTCCCGTGGTGGGAGACCACAAGTTAAGGTCCAGGCCCTGCTCAGACCCTGAGAGGATTTGCAAGAGAGGCTTCTCAGTGATAAAAATGAACATTCATGTCTTTGGGCTACAGCACATAGACGATGTTTTACATCCACAGGCCTTTATTTATAAATAGGGAAGTTTCCAAAATCTGCAAAGCGACACATCCTGAACAAGTTCAAAAAAGGAACAAGTGCCAAAAAAGGCTTAAAATGAGGTAAATGTCAGGCTTTAAGAGCTGAATGTATCCTGAAAGGCAAAGTAGGGCGCTAAAGCCATTCCACTTGCAAAGGGATGAATTTGTGCACAAAGCCAGAACTAAGAGCACCTGCAGTGTCTATGTGTTTTGGAACGAGATGAGTCTAGTTTCAAATTCCAGTTCTGCCACTCACACGAGGCGTGCCCTAAGGCAAGTTACCTAACCGTCCAGCCTCAGTTTCTTCATCCATAACATGGGCAGAATACTGTCATCTCAGAGGGTTATTTGAAAAGTGATGGCGGGGCCAGCCCAGTGGTGCAACAGTTAAGTGTACGCGCTCCGCTTCGGCAGGCTTCGGCAGCCCGGGGTTGGCAGGTTCGGATCATGGGCATGCACTGACACACCGCTTGTCAAGCCATGCTGTGGCAGCGTCCCATATAAAAAAGTAGAGGAAGATGGGCACGGATGTTAGCTCAGGGCCAATCTTCCCCAGCAAAAAAGAGCAGGATTGGCATCAGATGTTAGCTCAGGGCTGATCTTCCTCACGAAAAAAAAAAAGAAAAGTGACAGGGACAAGGTATGTACAGCGTTTATCACAGTGCCTGGTCCATCAGGTATCCAAAAAATAGCAGCTGCTGTCACAACAAATGGCTCTAAGTATTCCCTGCATTTAGGTAGAAAAGCATGCAACCACTTACTTATTCAACTACTCTTTGCCAGACATTTCTGAGTACTGAGGAAAAAAGGGAAAAAAATTTCCCTACCCTCAAGAAGAGTCAATTACTTGCAAAAGGACAGATTTCTGCAACACTATAACATAACACATATCTCACCCCACATAATAAGGCAAATTGACTGAGAAAATTTCATGGCTGTTTCTAATAGACTCTCTCCACTAGCCTCCTGTTGCTTACTATTAGTGTACCAGTTTTCCCGATGCGTATGTAAAAGAATCTTCCTTTCGTTTAAATTGCAAAACAGAGAAATTTTTAAATCTTTGTTCTTGACTTCTAATCGAATTACACTGTAGTCAGAAAATGTCGTCTGTACATGAAATTGATTCTTTACTGGGACTTACTTTATGGCCTAGAGTATAGTCAATTTTTGTAAATGGTTCTTGCCTGCTTAAGAATATATGTCTTCTCAAGAAATCCAAAATAATGGATGCAAGATTGGATTCTACATCCAAAAAAAATCAAGCTTGTTAAAGTGGGGTTGAAATCTTTTAAGTTCTTACCAGTTTATTTTCTTTTGCCCTATGGATAACTAACATAGCTATGTTAACGACATAACAAATCTTTCCTTCTTTTATTAAATCTGTCAAGAGCCCTGTTTGCATACATAAACTTTCATACAGTTGTCCCTCGGTATCCACAGGAGATTGGTTCCAGAACCCCCGCAGATACAAAATCCTCGGATGCGCAAATCCCTTATATCAAATGGCGTAGTACCATAAATACAGTCGGCCCTCCACACACCCTCGGATACGGAGGGCTGACTGTACTGCCTTTACTGGGAAGGTTTTAGGCTAAACTGTGAGTAGAAGAATGCTATAACTTTTTGGTATGGGTCCACAGCCATGAATACCTGAGAATTCTTATATAAGATGATTATAATAGTTTTTGTAAATAGGAGAACTATACTAATTTAATCCATTCTTTCTAGACTAATTCCAATGATTTTACGGTAATGAATTAATAATACAAAAAATCTAAAGCAGCAAGTTTTCTGTTTGACAACATAAGAAAGGTTTTTACACCAAAAGATAATTGCATATGAAAAAAGACAGCCTGCATTCCCACTGTCCCCTCCATGCCCTACCTTCCCCCTCCCTTAGGGGCAGTCCATGTGAGACGTTCTCAGGGAGATGGAATAACAGATGTGACATTATGACAACCTAGAGGAATCTGCTCTATGCTTCCTTTCTACTTAATTGGAACATAAAAAGAAAAGCTAAATATTTATGGGAATAGGTAGAGCCAATGTTAATAAGCTTGACAAAAATGAAATAAAATCAATAAACAATCTTGAGACCGTATAAGGATTGACTAGAAAATAATTAACTAAGGTCTTGAGTTTCAAAAAAATTCCTGCACATGGTCTATACCAGTCACTAAACCAGTGTCATGCAGACTTCATTTTCTTAAGATCAACGTTTTTTTTAATGTAAGTGACATAAAACAGAAGACCTACTCATATGGGTTCAGGGAGATAGAAAATATTTTAACTGTATTTCATATATGCAGACATTTCTGCCGGATACATTTGGGTCTATCAGGAACATAACAAAGCAAATCAGAATGACAGACTCAGATTTTCTTAAAAACATTAATAACAGGGGCCAGCCCGATGGTGCAAGCAGTTAAGTGCATGCGCTCTGCCGCAGCGGCCCGGGGTTTGCCGGTTCGGATCCCGGGCGTGCACCAATGCACCGCTTGTTATGCCATGCTGTGGCGGCATCCCATATAAAGTAGAAGAAGATGGGCACAGATGTTAGCCCAGGGCCAATCTTCCTCAGCAAAAAGAGGAGGATTGGCATTGGATGTTAGCTCAGGGCTAGTCCTCCTCACACACACACACAAAAAATTAATAACAAAGTTCAAAGTACATTACAGAACTCTTAATTCTTAAAGTTGCAAGAGGATGAACACCAAGAAGTAAAAAATAATCACAAAAAGTGATGTAGTACTTAAGAATCTAATCTTTTTGCTTCTACCTGATAGTCCCTATTTAGTTTCAATAAACCTTATGTTGTACTATGATTTAATGTCATCCCAAAAGCTGTTAAAAGCTATAAATAAATAAATTTTACATAAGAGTTAAATTTTATGTAGTATTTCCATCAGCACATTGGATTTTTTTCCCCCACCACTTACCTGAATCGCCACTGCTGGCTGGTGGGAGATCATCAAAAAGCAAAGGTCCCCCTGATCCTGAAACACAGCAGAACACTTAGTAAGCCCACAAAACCTGGATGAGGCTTAAGTTTCAGAATCCATCCCACCAGGAACCTCTGCAAGTCATTGAAACAAACTCAAAACTCTTGTGTCAATCCAGTGGCAACTCACACTGTGGTAAATAATGTCTTGAACCTATTTTATTTTCAAGTCCTATCATTTCAAAGGAAACAAAAATCTGCCTTTAAGAGTTAAATCTTATTTCAGCTAGTAAAATAAACACTCAAATGAACCAGAGAAAACTGCTCAACATTTTTACGCAGTTTCTCAGGGCTTGCACAACTAGTGGATTTTTCTGCCTTACCTGATGCCATGGATTCAAAACTTAAGACAGTCCAACACCTAAAACATCTGTGTGTTGAAAATGGGGGAAAGGGAAAAAGATTGAGACAACTACAATCCCAGGATGACATGTTGACACACACCTGGGAGAGCCTGAAGACTGTACCTGAGTCAGTACTGCTGGCCGGAGGGAGGTCATCAAAGAGCAGAGATCCTTTCTGAGCTTCTTTCCCTAGAACAGGGAACACCTGCTTAGAGAGCATCCGGTCATCTGCCAGGATGGGTTTTCAAAGGGGGAGACCTTTTGAGATAAGTTTGCTATTAAATTCAAATTTTCTCCTCACTGTTGGACAAAATTTATTTAAAAAAATATTTTTTTGACATCTATTTAATATGGACATTTGTTTCCACCAGTTAGAGTCAATAGAAAAGCAATGAAAGATGACCCAACAGGCATGTTAAGGACTACTGGGTATTTTGAGGAAAATAAATATTTTCCTTGATAATTTCATTACTGAAAGCAAAAAACATTTAAAAATCTTTCTTTAAAAGTGAATCCTGGGAAGAAAAAATCTGATTCTAAAGAAAATGGTAATTTGGTACCTGAAGATAGAACTTCAGAGATAGAGGGACTCTTCAAAGATCTACAGTCTTAAAAAAACCTATTTCAATAACATTCTGAATGAACTACCAAGTAGAATCTCAAAACAAACGAACAGAGAGATGGTGAGAGGGAAGCAAATCTGTCTTAACTTGGCGTCCCCAGCACAGTGCCCAATTCAATAAATATCCATGGAGAAAATGAAGAATTTCAGATACTCCAAGGTAAACTCTGAAGAAAGCCAGGGAAATTTTTTATCTAAAAATCTGAAGATTTACACACCAAAAGTCCTTGCCTTAAATGTTTTATACTCAATTATCCCTTTCCATATAAAATTTAACCACCATTCCTTATTCTCCATCTTTTCCCCAGATTTCTAACTGTATGAACTGGCAACAGGAACATGAGGAACCAAGGGCTGAAGACGAAGGTGCATGCTCACGTCCTGTGAAGTTCAACCTGCTGACTCAACACAGGCTTTGTCCCACCTCTTGTTCCTCAGAATTCAAGTATAGAAATGTGCTCATTTAAAAACCAATTCCAGAGCCAGCCCTGATGGCCTAGCAGTTCAAGCTTGGTGCACTCCGTTTGGGTGGCCGGGTTCCACTCCCGGGGTGTGGAACCACGCCACTCGTCTGTCATGCTGTGGTGGTGGCTCACATAGAAGAACTAGCAAGACTTACAACTAGAATATACAGCTATGTACTGGGGGTGGAAGAGAGGAAGACTGGCAATAGATGTTAGCTCGGGGCAAATCTTTTACAGGGAAAAAAAAAATTCCCTTGTATGCTCCAAAAGGTTCATCCATATTGTCTTTTTGTCTCTATGTAGAAATGAGCTGGGTATCAATTCTACTCTTTAAAAAAAAATTCCCTTTTATGCTCCAGAAGGTTCATCCATATTGTCTTTTTGCCTCTATGTAGAAAAGAGCTGGGTATCAATTCTACTCTTTAAAAAAAAAAATTCCCTTTTATGCTCCAAAATGTTTATCCATATTGTCTTTTTGCCTCTATGTAGAAATGAGCTGGGTATCAATTCTACTCTTTAAAAAAAAAAAATTTAATAAACTCCAAGAAAGGAAATTTCTTCAGGACTCTTTAGGTCAGAAGTACCTTAAATACCTGATAAATTCCTGACTGAACAAAAAGCAACCCTTCTGCTTTATACCCCAATGCAAATGGGAAATGTCTACTCCATTCAATTATATTCTTATCCCTCAGGATTACCCTAAACAAATTAAGTAATTGCAAATACTTTCATTTTTCTCACAAGTTACATACTCTATGGGAAGTATTCAAAACAGCATTAGAAGGACATTAAAAGGCATTTAGGATCACATAACTACTGACTCACTGTATTAATCCTCCTACAAGAATCCCTAATATTCTAGCAGGCTACTTTGGGGGGGGCGGGGGGACCCAAGTGTACTGGGTCTAACCATCAGAATGTGCCTTCTCCTAACAGACTCCAAACTGCACTGGATGATCCAGAACAATCAACCTGCATTCAGTAGGGCCAGAGAGCCAGGCATCTTGGGAGAGAGGGGACATTACAGGGAGGAAGCCAACGTTAAGAGCAACCAACCCTTCCATTTGTGCCAGGTCAGATTTTAATTTTTGAATTAAACCACCCATCTACATCAGGTCTTTCCATTGCCAGTATCCAGCAGGGAGTCCTCTTTTACCCAGGTAACATATTTTCAGTTCTTGCAAACATTCCTCACAACAGAATTTCCAGCTCAGCACTAGCCTGGCCTCTCTCCTCTGGCTACAACTCAGTCTAAGATAGTGCTCCAAACTGGGCACCCCCACCCCCACCCCCAAGAATGGCCTATTTCCCCGTGCTGAATGGAATGTGCCTCTCCCCTCCTTTCTCACTCTGGAATACTGAGTGGTATTTCAATTAAACACAATGAGATCATCACACACTTTTGTTGGCCACAACTGAGAATGGCTTATAAAAATGATAATTAACATTTACTGCCTGCCAGGCACTATTCTAGTGCTCTGCATATTTTAATGCATTTAATCCTTACAATAATCTTACGAGATAGGTACTCGTATTACTTACTGATGAGGAAACTGAGGCACTTAGGTTAAATAACTGCCCAAGAGAGAGCCAGTGAGGAGTGGGGGTTCAAACCCAGGCAGCCTGCTTTCCAGTCCATGCTCTTGGCCGGGTGCTACCCTGTCTCCACACGTCGAGCACCATTCTAGGAACTTCACAAGGATCATCTCATATGACGCTCATAACAACCCCACGAAGATAATCCTGAGGCTCTGTAAGATCTCTGGAATACCTTTTGCATCATCAAAAGGATCAAACTTAGAATAGCTTGCATCTGGATTCTTTTAAAAAAAATCTATAGGTCACAGGTGCTAGAAAGAGAACTTCTGATTAGCCAGAACCTTACATTCTGTTTTGGATAAACAGTAATTCAAAGAAAGTGCTTGGGGCTGCCATCATTGGACAAAGTGTGACCCTGACCATAAACTTTGGAAGAGGCCCCCAGAGTTCTAAATGTAAGAACTTTAATAAAGAATGAAACAAGATTGAAGACAGTTTTTCATTACAGTTAATCTCATCAGGGATGTTTTTAGTTATCTGCAGTCTGAAGCTAGGTCTACTAAAGGTTATATACTATGCTGAGAAAAGGGCTCTTGGGTTGATCATATTCAGGTTAGCTAAAGGTTGCTATGTACAATAAAGCAACAAAAAGATCTCGAATTTTCTTCTCAACTACAAACGCAATAGTTGTTTTCCAAACACCACAGAGGTAGTAGAAAAAGGCCCCGTCTCACCAACCACAGTAACGGTTGAATGTATACATTCCACCTTCCATTACGCTCACGTACTTGTATATGTGCATTTCAATTTTTAAAAGGTAGGAGCACACTGTACACGATACTCAACATACATCACTGTTCACGTAAGCCATCAGGGCATGTTCCAGGCCAGCACATCTGGGTCTAATTATACGTTCCAACAACTGTGTATTATTTTATACGGGAAGCATCGCCACTCACTTTCCAGTTCCCTTACTGATGGGTATGCAGGCTGATTCTGGTTTTCCAAAAGACAAATAATGCCACAATAAACAACCTTAGATATATATCCTTACTTAATCTGCTAGATTGCTGGTCAAGGGGTATGAGTAGTTTAAATTTGACAGATGCCAAAATTTGTCCCCAAAAGAGTTGGGGTAACTTGCACTCCCAACACACTTTATAAAAATGTCCATTTCCCTACATCCTCACCACCACATTGCCAATTTTTAAATCTAATGGGTGAAAAACAAGGTATATCAGTGATCTGCTATTCCTTTCCTCAGTGACTGAGGCAGCTGAGCACCGGTCCCTGCTGATGGGTCATTTGCATTTCTTCTATAAACGGTCAGGATACAGCCTTTGACCATTTTTCTAATGGGCTGTCTTTTTCTTATTAATGTGTACGAGCCTTTCACTTATTAGGAATAGTAACCTTTAGTAATGTGTACTGCCATTATTATGTGTTTGTCTTTCACTTTGTGGTATTTTTGTCCTACAGAAATTTTTTATTTTTATATAGTTATATCCATTTTAATCTTTTATTTTATTTTATTTTTTTTTAAAGATTTTATTTATTCAGTTTTTTCCCCCCAAAGCCCCAGTAGATAGTTGTAGGTCATAGGTTCACATCCTTCTAGTTGCTGTACGTGGGACCCGGCCTCACGTTGGACGGAGAAGTGGTGCCTCGGGGTGCTCCCGGGATCCGAACCCGGGCCGCCAGCATCAGAGCGCGCGCACTTAACCGCTAAGCCACGGAGCCGGCCCCATTTTAATCTTTTATGACTTGAGTTTTTCCTTGCTTAACCCTCAAGTTCTGCAATTAGTCTGTTTCTAGTAGCTTAACCTTTATTTTATATTTAGATCTCCAATTTTCCTGAATTATTTGGAAGGTGGCCTGCCAAGCAAATATTTACTTAGTCCTTGACAGCTGACCATCAAAGTGTAATGGTGTACCCAGTGAGTGAAAGGACTATCCCATAAAACTGAAACCAAGTCACTGCTGAAGCAACTTTAAACCAGGACACCTTTGTTCATCTTAAAGACACCAAGTCAGCACTTTTTTGAGTATGAAAGAGCAGAGAAGTTCCATTTCTGTCTGATATGAACAAACATACTTCCTCTTTTAGGTAAACTATACATATAAAACACTCGATTCACTCAGCAAATTTCTAAGTGCTTGGATGAAAACTACTAATTTAGCACAAAATCTGAAAACATTTAATGTGTTCTTTCTACATTTTTCTTCAGACTATAAAAATTAAGAGGCTTGGAGGCAAGAACATTATATGTGATATTTAAAACAAAAATCAAAGAACTAAACAAAATACAGTTGGTGTCATCTGAGCAGTGTGATATTTCCTCTCTTTGGACACGTGTGTTTTCACAAAATCCATTTAAGAGTGCATTCTTCCCCTTGTAAGTAGCTGTTACAGTTCACAGCTCATATATCAACATCTCCTAAGCACTGACCGCGCACTCCACCCTGCACCAAGCACTCTACGGGTAGCGCTCTAATCCACGTGCTAACAGTAGGAGGCGACGCTCCTGTTCCAGATGTGGGAACAGCCACAGAAGGCACAGTTGGCAAGAGCCGAGTTGGGATTCGCAACCAGTCTGATCACACGTCTAGAACAAC